TTAACCTTCAGTTTATCTATCCCTATTTTTCTAGCTATGAAAGAAAACTATAAAAACATTGCCTTAGATTCTTTTGATGCTAAGATAAATGAACTGGCTTTATCATAACTGTGACATCTTTAATAATAAAATCCTGATATTAAAAATATGAGGAAAGAAGACAAGATTTTTAACTCCATGTTACAGTTAAGGATACAAGTTTCATATCACGATCTTAAGCAAATTATCGACAAAGCGGAATACAAAAATTAAGCAAAATATGCTCTATTTTAACTATCACATAAATGTCACCTCTGATTCTGTGTTCACAGTCCGTGTTGTGACGCCCACAGTATAAATTCCTCCAGTTGAATCTTCATGAATTCTTATATTTGATTTTTTATTTTTTGCATCAATATCACGCGTGGTATCAAATAAGTCAAGGACCTCTTCATTATATAGCTATCAAAAAGAAATATTATAAGTTTAAATTTAGAAGAAGTTGCTTCATGGCTGTAATAACACACATTGCATAATGTTATCTTTCAAACATATCTTAAAAGCTCTCCAAAATGACATATTCCCTCAAAGTAACAGATAAAAACAAGTGAGGCAATTATTATCAAAAATACAAATAAAGACCACCTTTCTTCATAAGAGTAAGAACAGTAAATGACTTAATCATGACTAATGAATTGAGGGCTAGCTAAAATTATCTACTAATCCTTTGCAAGAGATAAACATTTATAAATACAAGCAAACTCTAAGAAATATGTACCAAATGTAGATGAACCCTAAGCTTAGAGATTTTAAGAATTTTTACTACTTGAGCTAAAAATATATTTCCTATTGCCCTACAACCTTTCTTAATGTATCTAAAAATTGAAACCTTGTATTTTTGCAAGGTCATAAATGATACTAATGTTTCTGTACTGGCTGTAGCTGACATGATTGAGCTACCGCCTTAGAAAAGGATGCACACATCTATTTTTCTATCAATATGCTTCAAAGTCACAATGTCTAACAACATTTTGGAGGGTGAAAAAGAAGATAGAAGAAAACTATTTCTTTTCTTTCTCCACTATTAGTTACTCTGCTTTGGGTTTCTACTAAACTGTGATGTCCATTAATACCAGCAGTAAGATAACCAATGTTAATTTGAATTGTTTTCTGTATTGTGCTATATAATGTTGAATGAAATGTTTCGTCAATGACCAAAATGATAGATTTAGGCTAGAGCTAGACTAGAACACTCTTTGGACCAAGCATCCAGAATTATAATGTCACTGTCCACCTAACTGCAATATTGCTCATATGCGAGATGTCCTCTTACTATCATGTCCCTCCCACCAGACTAGACTGCCCTAAATTAATCCAAACCTGCCCTAACCTTTGGACATTGCATCAAACCATCTGCCTATCTTCGCAGGAATACCAGCTTCTGCAGTCAGATTAGTGCTACAGCCTCAATCCTATTATTCCTCTGTTCCCCCACCCCACTTTGGTCTTAATCACTGAGTTGTCAGCACTTTGTAAGCCTGCCTACATTACAACAGTAATTATAGTCTAAAGAGACAGCCTGAAATAAACAATATAAATTGGTTTTTTTCTATGGACACTGGTCAAGTGTTTATAATCTTAAATGCCAACAAGTAAAGAATATCTATTATCTATTCTTACTATTGCTACCTATTATCTAATGTTAATTTGCTCAAACATTTATTGAGTACTATGTGTAAAGCACTGGACTACAAGTCAGAAGCATAAAATCATAAAGTCTATGGTCTTAAGGACAAGCTGTAAAGGAAGCTAATGACACAAACAGTCTATTACCTCTAAGAATTGCGCATTCACTTTAAAATCTGGAGGAGGAAGCCCGCTTTTAATGGCAGTATGTTTTTTTTCTTCAATACTCTTGAAAAGGTGTTTAACAGCACGAGAAATGATACCCTGTTCTTCCTCGATGATGTTAACATCAAATCCTGTTCCCATTGTGTATGTTTTGCCAGCGCCAGTCTGAATAAAAGAACAGAGAAAAATGTGTGCTTGATCTTAAAAACATAACCTCAAGTAACAGCAATGAAAGTGCAACTGAATTGATACTTCTGAAAAGTTACAGCTTCTATGAAAATAATTTGGTACTTACTTGTCCATAAGCAAAAACTGTAGCATTGTATCCTTCAAAACAACCTTCGATTAGTTTTTCTATACATTGAGTGTAGATCTGCTCTTGCTGGGAGTCAATGTCAAACACATAATCAAAAGTAAAAGCTTTGTCTTTCCCTAGGAAGACCTGAGGTTCTCCTGGTGTAACAGATGTACAAATATGGCATCCTTCAATCTTTTCTTTGGCAAGTTGAGGTCTTATTCTGTGAGAAATAATCAGAAAAAAATAAAATAAAATAAATGGAAAAAACAACCAAACTTGAAGAAATAGGATTTAAAAATTCCTGACCAAATCTTTTAAAAACAATAATACAACCTACTATTGTTCCTTCAGTTGAAAAATTTAAATTAAATTATACTGAGTTCATTTCAGTATCAGTTACCAAATCCCAAGCGATCATGAACAAGTGTAAATTAAATGTTTTTGCGGGTGAATATTTTTGGACAACTCTGTAAGAGAGGTAAAGGATCAGTTAAATAAATTCTGCAACCAAAATGCTATTTGTTGTTATTTTTGTTTTCGATTTCTTCTCTTTATTTCCAGGAAGGATGATATCCAAAAGTAAGAAATTAAGACATACTCTTTTTCTTAATGCCCTTTACTCACCTTTTTGCAAACTCTTCACCAATGGTTTCCAAACTTATTTGACCATATCCTTCTTTCAGCTTAACATGTTTAAGCATATTCCCACAATATACAGGAATATGTATTTATTTATAAATGATATGCATGTCCCGTATTGATTTGCCATACATTATGATACACACAAAAGCAGGATTTTGCAAAGAAATTAAAAATAAATACAAACAGAAGTTCCAGTATTTTCCCTCCACAACCTAGTGCAGTGAATCATCATGCACATCGCCGGGGTGTTCTCCCTCCACGTGGAAGACCACAGCAGTATATCCAGCCTGCATCCACCCCCATCTGCTTCAGATTCTAGTACCTTGCTCTTCTGCATTCTCGTCCTAATTTCAAGGCCTATTTTTATTTTCAAAGAAGGAAAGTAAATATGATGATATATTGCTAACAGAACAAACCAAACTCTGGCCCTATTCGAGTCACACTGTAAACAGGACCATCCTGGACATACATATCACTGATTTACTGTACCTGGGTTTTTTAAGAAGTTCCTATTTGCCATGAAGGAGAAGCAGTTTAACCTGAAATTGTCGGATGTATCTAAATGAATATTTCCATCCGCTGAGTGCAGATTGAAACTTCCAGAAAGGCAATTTAGAAAAGCAGATGTACATTTTTCTATATTTTAGTGTTTTTCAAGAATGAATAATAATAGGGAATTTTTATACATAAAAATAATGTCATTTATATACAGAGCAGCTCAAATTGTTACCATTAAATGCATAAAATAGTCAAAATAACAACTTTTTGTTTTCTGTGGATTTCTGACACATTAAAAAAAACAACAACTTTAATTAAGGCAGCAAAAGAGTTAAGAAAGTAAAGACACCCAGTGATGCAAAATATAAAATGATAAAGACAAAGTAAAAAATAATTTTAAAGGATTCTGGTCCCATATTCTTATTTTTTGAGATATAGAAACTGAGATCTATGGAAGAGCAACCAGTTTGTCTATTTATTAGAGACAAAGCCAAGCCTAAGTACAAATCTCCTGAGTTTCAACCCTTTCCAGTTCATCAAGAGGGAAGGTCAATGGAAGGATAGGATAGACAATACTGAGAAGGGACTACATTTCTGCAACTCCGGTTATCTAAAATAGAATTCTATATAACTAAAAAAAGTGTTAAGAAAAGAATATATTTATCTATGCTTTTTTTTTCTTTCCTCAGTGATAATGGTATTTTTCTTTAATAAGTCTTCAACTGCATTTATTTGTTTTACTGGAACGCAATAGTCAACGTGGGGTTGGCTAGGGACTGTGGAAAGAGCAATGGAGGGACCATTAGGGGACCTGGGTTCTGTTACATTTGTCACTCTATCGGTATCACACCGTCTTCTCTCAGAGCTCCAATTTCCTCACCCATGGATAGAAACTATTATTTCCAAGGTTTCTTTTAGACCTAACACTAGTTGACTGCTGGATAGTTTATTATAAAAAAGGGGAAGGAAAAAATATTCATGTATTGTTATGTAGATAAAATGATATTATAACAAATAAAACAAAGGGTTTCTTACAAGAAGCTATGTCCACGGACTAAAATACAGCCTATGGTAGTAGCAGCTTTGACTTTCTCGTTCCACTTTTTCTTAATGTGTGGTCTTCCTCAAGATTTATATTCTCTTCTTTCTAAACGTCTCCTACCTCGCTTCATCCAGTCATGGGAAGGAAACCATAACGAAGCCTCATCCTCCTTATGAGAATCACTACCCCAACTGCTGCCAAGCCAGGAACAGGAGTCAGCCTCAACCCCCTCTTCTCCATTCCATCTATCTAAGCTATCTCCAAGAGCTATTAACTATCTCTGAAACAGCTCTTAAACCCACCAGTTTGATTCCTTCCTCGCCAACACCACCCTTATCAAGGCCACCATTATTGCAAAAGTCTCCTGTAGTCAGCCTATGTCAAATCTTGCCCTCCCAATCTGTTTCACACTCTGCAATATTAGTAGTATGTAGAAAATATGAAGTTGCTTAAACCCTTTCAGTGTATCTCTAAATCTCTCTGCAGTCTCTCCTCTTGTCATGCCCCATCTTTGCATTAAAGGATTTTGGGTAGTCATGGTTGATTTTTCCAAGTTTCCCTAAGCAACTATGCCCTCTCTAGCCTCTATGCCTTAAAATATGCTGTTTCTTTTCCCAAATACTCTTCTCCACTCCTTTTCCAACTCCTTTCCAGTGTGAACATCTCATGTTTTCAATCTCTGTTTAGATCTCACTTCTTTAGGAAGCTCCCACTAACTCTTTGCGTTCCAACATGAAGTCATATCTCAGCCCCGGCTGTTCTTTCCTGGAAGCTTCCTCATTCACCCCAGGATTCTGCTTTCTCCCTGCTTGACAGACGGTTACACTGTGAAGCTTACTAAACGTCATGTAATAAGTCAGATACAAATAAATACACTGTTTAAATGAAAATGAGCACTGGGCTACTGTTCAAAATCAGTTCCGCATTAATTTTAAGTAAATGATTTTAACAATAGACTAACTTATGTGGCTATTAAGATACTTTCAATTTCATTTCAACAGAACAAAGAATAGGTGCCATTTGAATTGCAGATATGACAGCCAATTTTAGAACGCCAAAGTCACTCAGAACATAGTCTCCTAACCTCTATTCATCTAATTATTATCCTTGATAATGATGAAGAGGATTGTGTTTGAAAGATGGATGATGTGCAATTCCATCCATTCGCATGGGTGGGGACAGAGAGTGGCTTTAAAAACCAACAAGATAGGCAGAAGCCATTTCTACTCCATCCAGGCAATGGCAGTTTCCCAGCAGGCCTGAGAAACTCCCACCAAGAAGGGGATAGTCTCCTGCACATGCATAACCCTAGAAGGTTTTCCAAGCTGGGGCCCTGTAAATTAGACTGACAAAAGACAGATTAACAAAACAAAATCAAATTGAAGTTTATGAATGTATGCATCTCTCTCACACACACGTGGGAATGAATACTCAGTGATGAGTAACTCAGAGGGTGGTTAGAACTTGGACTCATATAACATCTTCACACAAGGAAAAAGGACTTTGAGTCTCTAGGACAGCAAACTGTGGGAACATAAATACTATGTGGAGGAACTAATGGAAGATGAGGGTTAGTTAGTGAAGCTTATTAGGGAGGTTCCGCTCATGCCATATCCAGTGATTAACTTCTGTCCTTCCTGGTAGAGAGGGGAGGGGGAACCTTTACAAATTCATGTCCTGCTTTTAGGCAAATAGGGGAAGTACAGAAATATTTTCTTGTAGCTTCTTCCTTTTAATTGCCTTCGTCTCAAAATAATCCTTATGTCAAAGTGGCATATTCAGAGATGGCATATTCTACCCTGTAAACATCATGTTTTCAACACTTTATCTGCAGCTGGTTTTTGCAACATCCCTTTTTTTACTGATTCTGATTTATGAACACACTTTTTCACCATATGCTTCATAGACAAACTTGCCTTAAAATGTCAGTGTTTCCTCCCCAAAAATGTGCTATTTCTCATGGTCTCTAAGATTTCCCTAATTTGGATTCTACCGGTCACTCCATTCTCAAATCTAGTCACACCCAGCAACATCAAACCCCCGATCATTTTTTGATCAACTTATATACTTTTATTCACCATGCCAATATACATGGTTTTCTCTCTGCTTAAAATGCTGGCCCTCCATTTCTTTGCATAGAAACCTCCTTGTAATTCTTCAAGACTTAGCTCAAACATCCGTACATACCTTTGTAAAGCTTTCCCTCCTCCGCCAAGCTTGAATTAATCTACGTAACTTGTACATGATTTTAGAAGAGTTGATATAAAATTGAATTCTTGTTGTGCTAGTAAAGAATTCTTTAAGGACAGAGAATATATCTTATTCAATCATAAAACAGAGTAATTCAACAAATTTTTACTGACTGGATCCTATAAACTGTTCTAGTGAAGGGGGCAACATTCCAATATCAGGTATGTAATTTTCACAATAAAGTAATTTGTGCTCCATCATTTTACTTTGTTACCAGAAACTTGATCTTGAAGAGTCATTTAACCCTTCTATGTCTCAATTTTCTAATCTACAAGATGAGCAGCCTAGACTTAACATTCCTAAGGTTCTTTCTAACTTCAAATTCTATTTTTAATTATTCCTTTAAGAACAGCAAAATCCTGACTTAAAAGAGGCATCAATAAATGACTTTTTTTTGTCACACTCTATATCAACTATTAGTTGCACCACTTGTTCTTTATATCTTTAGAGTTGTTACGATTCCCTCCAGTTTTGGTAGCAAGTGTTACTATGGCCATAGGGACAAGGAATTTCATTTATGAAAACGTTATTGGTTCCCTGCAGTAGCTGTAAAGATTAGAAGAGATTGAGACTGAGACCAGCAAGTTTCCTTAAATTGGGCCCTCTTTTCTGATCTCTGCCTCCATAATAACCATAACTGGCTTTAAAATCAAGTATATCGACTAAGCCAAGAGGACTGGTTTGAAGATGTCCTGGGGAGGACAGAAAAATAATAAGATAAATGCATTTGGGAGGAAATGGCTTAGAGTAGCTACCTTTCCAGCTTAGTGTTTTAGTCATGAAACGCA